TCTTATCCAAATAATGAAAAAAATACATCAACCAATATAAGACATCCTGCTCCCCCCCCCCCCCCCCCCCCTCACGATCATGAGAATGAGGAGGAGGAGGAGGAGGAGGAGAAGGAACGGGAAGGAAAAGGAGGAAAGAGGAGGCACCTGTAGCAGCAATGGGCCAGAACATGTAGGCGAAGCCGCGGAGATGAGGGTCAGGGTGGAGGACGCCGAAGTAGTCGTTGTTGTGCTCCTCTGTCCAGAAGGACGAGGGGAACTCCAGTATGACCTGCGATTCATGAGAGACGGAAGGGAGGTGAGAGGGAAGGAGGTGAGGGGGAAGGAGAGGAAGAGGAGGAGGAGAAAAGGGCCGTGTGACAGCTAGAGGGCAGGCACGGGATAGAAAACGCTGCTCACTTTGTTCAGCAATCCGAAGCCCATCCTCTGAATGCAATCTGCCCAATGACGAGGTGTCAGTGAAGGAGTGGGAGTGGGAGTGGGAGTGGTGGGAGGAGGAGGAGGAGGAGGAGGAGGAGGAGGAGGAGTCATGGTAGAGGAGGGGGAGCAGGAGGAGTGGAGAACCCGTCTTCCAAGCCGGAAGTGGCGGATTGAAACCAGGGCGACCATCCTGCAGTCAACAGCGTCATCCTCCTCCTCCCCCTTCCCCTCCCCATGCCTTCGTACCTTGAGTACTCCAAGAGGAACAGTAACGACCACAGCATCTGCATCCATCACCTGCTCCTCTGCTGGGGAGGAGGAGCAGCGCGAGGTCACCCGCACCCCTGGCGTTCTCGGATCGTAATCAATCTGAGGAATCAAAGTAGCCGTGAGTTTGCTATCCCTCGCTCCCTCCCTGACTCCCTCCTTCTCCTCTCCATCATCCTCGTCATCTCCTGCTCCACCTCCTCCTCCACCACCCACCCACCCACCCTCTCCATCATCCTCGTCATCTCCTGCTCCTCCTTCTCCTCCTCCTCCTCCTCTCCATCATCGTCGTCATCCCTTGCTCCTTCTCCTCCTCTCCCTCACCTCTTGCACGCACTGTCCCAGTCGCACATCCAGATCTCCTTGGACGGGGTTAAGGAGGGAGAGGAACCCGCGGGGAGCGCCCAGTGCTGTCCGGGATAAGCACAGAGGTCGTCGAAGTTCCACCACATCCTGCTGACCCCGTCGGAACTCGGAAGGGAAGAACGACAAAGTAGATCAAGGAGCTGGTGAGGAGGAGAAGGAGGAAGAGGACGAGGACGAGGATCAGGAGGAGGAGGAGGAGGAGGAGGATGAGGAAGAGGAGGAGGAGGAGGATGAGGTGATGGAGTAGGAGGGTTGGAAAAAGATGACGGAGGGCAAGTGACCTGCTAACGTTGGCTAACGGAGCTCCAAGCGCAAACTCGAGGTTCGCATGATGCCACTGGAGGATGGGTAGAAGCTGAGAAGGCAAAGTGAGAGAGGACGGGGGAAGAGAACGGGGGAAGGGGAGGAGGAGGAGGAGGAGGAATACAACTGTCGCTGTTGACAACAAAGTTGGAGGACAAGGATGGGGGCAGGAAGCTCGTCGGACCTGCTGTGTGCCTGCTGCTGTCAATGTCCCTTCCTGCGAGAACTTCTTCTTGGTGCAAGAAACCAGTGCCTCCTCCAGCCCCCTGCTCTTGTTCTCCCCTTCATCATTTGTCTCCTCCTCCTCCTTGTGCTGGTGGAGAGGATCTTCTCGGTTGGTGCTGTCGTAAGCGGAGTCGAGTAGCTCGTTGAACAACTGTATCCTTCGGTCAGCTCCTCCCCCCCCTCCTCCTCCACCTCCTCCCCGCGCTCTCTTGTCTTCCCCTGGTCTAACCTTCTCCGCCGCCATGTCAGTGCTGCTTTCGACTCTCTTCCCGTCAGAGTTGTAGAGGTTACATGTCTCCCTGTGATGCTGATGTGAATATCTCCTTCTCCTTCTCCTCCTCCTCCTCCTGGCCCTCCAATCCG